CATTCTGTAGTTGAGATCTGAAGGCAGCAAAGCTTTGATTCCAGCATTTAGACGGTTTCCAGTTTCAGTCACGTTTCATTTGTTCCACCAGTCTGATCAAGTCAGATTCAACAGTCACACAACATAATTTACATCTTTTTCAGCACTCTGGCCTGCGCACGCCGATATGTTCCGTATTTGATCATTTTTAACGGTGTTGGAGGAATCTGAAGGCGGCGAGTCATTCTGGCAGATTGTAATGGGCCATTCCCATCTGTACCGGGTCGGCCCGGGCCGGGTAGCATAGGTTGTTTACATATCTGGGTGGCCTGGTATTTTTCCGGGCCAACCAAGGCTCATTCTCAGCCCTCTTCTCGAGGGGGTCTGCTTCAGGCCGACCAGGGCCAACACACCCACTGCTGACAGCAAATTCACACCTTCCATTAGAGCAAGCCTCTGATTGGTGGGTAGAATCAGCCCATTCACACCTTCCATTAGAGCAAGCCTCTGATTGGTGGGTAGAATCAGCCCACATAGGCTTAAGACAAGGATGTGTGGAATCAACCGGGCCAAGCTGGGGCCGACTGGGGCTACCCGGCCCGGCCGACCCGGTACAGAAGTGGCAATGGCCCATAAGTAACACCTTGTCTCATGCAGGTGTTCTGACATTGTAAACCTCACACACAGAATATTGTGGACGTAACAAAATAAATCAAGAAATGATTCCCATTCAGGCTATTAACAGTGCGCTGAAGATCTGAAGTTCAGAGTGCGTCTGTCAGAGGTCAGACGCATTCCAGCGGAACCACGGCTCACGGGTGCACAAGTGAGCACATCTGGGCTGGGCAGAAGTAATTTTACAACATTGGTTTAAATAGCGCCAATAACGAGACGCGGTGACTGGAGCGGCTCATGGAGCTGTGCCGCGCGTGCACACACAGATTCAATAAGTGTGCACGCTGTGCAATATCTTAATTTGACCTGGAATGAAAAATATTGTTATAAAACCTCTTAAAAGTTTTTATCACAGAGGAGGCAGCGTTCATTTCTGCCTTCAGTCTGACGGCGCGCCGGTGTTCTGTCGACACAGGCGGCTGCCTGGGGGCCATCTGATGGATAGGGCGCAAAAAAAAAAAAACGTTAATTAAATTTATGTTTGTTATATGAAATGCACTCTCTACATACTCAAAATTCCCCTCTGAAATGACATGAAATTAAAACATCAATATTTAAATTCTAATAATCTGGCTACATGACGAGCTCCCGCTTGGGCCACCGCTCCGAAGCATTTGTTAAAGAGCAAGTAACGTCTAAATTAACTTTTTTTTGCTGATGAACTGAATAAATGAGTGTCTATTAGTGTTTTAAATGTGTGCATTCTTTATTTTAGCATTTTGGTGCATTTTCTTTAAAAATTAAAAATTCTGTCTAAAAACCACAGTAATGCGCCACCTTCAGCTGAAAACATAGAGTCATTTTGAATAAATTTTAGCCAATGGCTAAAGAGTAAGATACTACTACGTAAACCAGTAGAGTACTACGTAGCAGCTCCGTGCCAAAGTTATAAAAGCAACGAGAGTCTCGGCCACGCCCTGTGGCGAGTGGGAGTTGGATTTGCAAGCGAGCGTAGGAGGTCAGCGGTAGTTCAGCATTAGCATATAGCATTAGCATATCCTAGTCTTAGCATATCCTTTAGTGTTATAAATACTTATTTAGTGTTAGATTTGGCTGTTGGATATTGTAGTTGAGTTAGTGTTTGGCTGTTAGTGTAATTGGGAAAGTATTTCGGGTTTAGTGCTCCATATCGTCTTAGTATTGGTGAGTAGGTGTAGTGTAGTATGCTTGCGGTGACTCTGTGGGCATTTTACCCGCGATTCTGCACGTCTCCGTTTGAAGAGGGAGGCTGTGCCCACCGTGGCTCCTCCGCGATTTAGATGCAGCCCACGGACTCTGCTCCCCCACCACGGCGGGCTCCAGTCTGAGGTGAGTACGCTAAATAAACGTTTTAACATCTTCTAAAGACAATTCCCTACCTAAATGCAAAGTCTGAGAGACATGGTTCACTTCCTTTAGCTAGTCAGTCGGCAATTCTGCAACAGTGGCTCTAACTGACGCAGCACTTGACAGACAGCATTACAGCGTGAAATCCAGCTTGTGAACAGGTTCTGTGAGGAATTCTGTTCAGGAGGTCTCCTTTCAGGCTCTCCACATCATATGTGCCGTAGTCACGTGCGTGGTTAGCACTGTGGGACATCCTGTTGTCGTTGCGTTGAAACTTTTGATATCTTTTATGATGAAAAGAACACCTAAGCCATCGGGATCAGCATTCTGGAAGTGAAGGAAGGAAGAAGAAAATAAACGGGCCCAAAGCAGAGGTATGTAGACTTTATAAATTTGGCAAAGGAACTTTTTGTGTTAGCATTGTAGCTAACTGCCTCTCCTGCCACGGATGGACCCTCGCTAGCTGTTTACATACACAATACAGTATCCCATAACTTTAACCAATTAATTTTACTTTTGAATCGTTGTGTCCAGATGCTATGAGACAATATCTGCAGCCACACAGGCACCTGTTGACACCGGGGGGGGGGGGGGCGGGACTGTCTTTACACCTGTTGAGTCTCACTGTGATGATGAAGAATGTAAGATTTTTTACTGGTTTTTGGAGTATGATTGCAGCCTTTTTATGAGCCTTGTTTCAAATTTTAAGTACGCCTACAATATGAATATAATATTTTCATATCAGAAGAACGTTAGGTGTGGGTGTAGCAAATTTTCAACTTTGTCCGACACATCGGGCGGGCGGCACCGCCGCGGCCGTGGCGGGGAGTGAGAACTGCCTAAACACAGCATGACATCTTATACCGTCTCTTTCTTGTTTATGCTGCAGCGTCTTCTATCCAGGCATCACGCAGCAGCACATTTACTGAGCTACAATCTCAGCATCTAGAACCAGGTGAGTAAGTTACTTGTTAGGCTATTTGTAATCAGTAGTAGAAACGGACTTTTTCAAATTAAACGGCTTATCACATATATCGATATGCAAAATTAATTTATTTAAATCCACACCATTGTTTTTGGCACAATCAGTGCAGCGTTGATTTAGCATTGAGAATAATAAATAATCTGAACATGCACATCTGAAATTGTCTCCTTAAGATGTTATTAGGCTGTAAATTTGTAAAAAAGGATGGACATTAGTTTTTGTGACATTAGTGAGTCATCTTCAGGGCAGAAAGGTTTATGCCCTGAAGAAGGTCGTACAGAAACGCGTCGGTGTTTCCATGTTTAATAAATGAAATCCTCAGAGTGCCTCAGATCACCGGTTCTTCTTCCTCTTATTCTAAATTTATTTGATGCTGAAGAGCACCTGAGAGTGAGACATACATTTTTTCAAATATTCCCCATGGATGCACTCACTTCCACCTGTTTTTGATCATTTTATTCAGGTTTTCATAGAACAGATTTAAAAAAAGATCAATAAAATAAAAAGTCCAGTAACATTAAAAATAATGAAAAGCATCACTGCACATGACTGAGGAATATTGAACATGAAAGTGGCACTGTTCTTAAGTAATTCATGCATCAGAGGGTTAAGTTGCTGTGTGTGTGTGTGTGTGTGTGTGTGTGTGTGTGTGTGTGTGTGTGTGTGTGTGTGTGTGTGTGTGTGTGTGTGTGTGTGTTCTCACAGAAAAAGAACCCAACACCAGCAGACTCCGTGCTCCAATCCAACAGCCTGAAGAGACGCCATCATCAGCTTCAACAGATGTCTGTGAACATGTATGAGCTGCTGGCCCCATGGATCCTGCTGACTGGCCACAGCAGTTGAAGAAAATGGAAAGTAGAACTTTCTTTATGATGACACTTAGATATTTGAGTTTTGCTTTTGATTGCACAGTTTAATGCTGCTTTTGATTTTGCATCCTCCAATGACATTTGCACAACATTTTGAGTTGTTGGTTATTGTAATATTCTCAGGTTACTTATCTTTCAAGCTTACATTTATTGTTCAGGCTGTTGACTTTAAAGAGTTGCTGTGTGAATATTTAAAATAAAAAATTAGTAACCAAGGAATAACTGTGGAGTTGCTTTTTCCAATGTGCGGATCGCAGATTCAGCCACACCATAAAACAGCAATAAGTCGGTCTGAGGCAAAAGTGAACCTCATGGCTTTTCCATCTTTTCCCATATAGACATTTGATTACGCACAAGTAGGTGATCAGCTCAGGTTTACGCAGAACAGAAGGAAGGAGAGCGCTCTGGCCGCACAGGTTAAACGTTCCTACTTTAAGAAAACTGTGAAATTGCATTGTTTATGTGCTACCTGGGCACTCTAAATATTTATTTAAAATTAAATCAAAGGAAACTGTAATGGTATTGAATGTTTATTAATTACTATTGAAAAAATGAAAGTGATGGGGGAAAAAGGCCGTTTAGCTGTTTAGCTTGACGTCTGATATACACACACACACACACACACACACACACACACACACACACACACACACACACACACACATATATATATATATATATATATATTAATTAACGCGTTAAAGTCCCGGCCCTATATAGGGCCGGGACTTTAACGCGTTAATTACGATTAATTAATTAGAAAAAAATAACGCGTTAAAAAAATTAACGCATTTAATCGCAGCTTGCATTTCAAGCACGGCGGAACCTTTGTCATTGCACGTTTTCCTCGTAGACCGAATATCACTGACGCACACAACAATGCACAGTGGCTAATGGCTACTAAAACGAAATAAAAACAGAAAGAAGTTGCCTTGCTTGGACTGATGCAGGATTTAGGAAACACATCCGCCTCTTTTCTTAACTTGGAAAATAAAAACTTCCAGACAACAACGGAGTCCGTGTCGCGGACATTTTTCAGAGATCATCTCTGCTGCGGCTGCCCGCCCGGTGGCACCGGAAACTTTACAAAAGTTGCGGTAAGCTATATTTTTAACATTTACGTAACATCTGTGCAGCGCTGAAAGCACTAGACAATAATTCTGTGCCCTAACAGTAGTTTATGAAAGTAGGCAGAAAAACGAGAGGCACCTGGCTGCCGCTGGGAGAACGCTCCGTGTTCTCACTACTCTAAACAATCACAAACAACGTGTCTTAAAGTTGAAAACAGAAGTTTAAGTTAAAACAGAAATACTCTGAAAATTTTCTGATGATTTTCTAAACAATTCTGTCGGGGAATTCTATGTTTCTGAGACGAGTCGCTGTCTAAACATCACATGCATTACTATCAGGGGCAGCAAGGAACGAGGAAGTTGTGATCAGGCTGGAGACCACACCAGATTCGCTGCTGCAGGTGTGAATCTGCGGGTCTGCAGCATCCCCTTATTAACGTGACAGCAGAACTTCCCATGTAAGGAAGGTCCGCTCACCTGTTCGTCAGATCATTATTTCCTCGCCATGATCTTTTATCTTCCCATCAACCTCCAGTCATCCAACTGGAACCAGTTAGTGTTCCTGATCATTCTCAGAATATGCCATGCCTGCTCTGGTGTTAAAAGTTAGTACATTTAAGTCCTAGATCATATCTGTGCCTGTTCTACTGTCATTTTGAAGGATTATTATTTATGTGTTTTTACTATATTATGAGCAGAAATGCTAATAAAATCTCCCAATTATACAAACAAGTGAAACTGGAAAAATTAGAATCTGGTGCAAAGTCAAATTAATTTCAGTCATTCAACTAGACAGAGAGACTATTTAAAGGCTCAGGAACCATTTGCAGGTGTTTTCTAGTTGTAATTATAAATTTTAGTTGATTTGGGTTTTGTTTCATATCACACAGTGACATGTGAATAACTAAAATGCATTTTATTAAAAGCTTTAGTTTACAGTAATAACCATGTCTAATGTTTGATTCTCTGTCTCATAATTTTAATTAAAAGTTTTACTTTGAGAGCGTATTTTCCTGAACGATTAAAATGTGATTAATCGAGATTAATTAATTACAAAGCCTGTAATTAATTAGATTAATTTTTTTAATCAAGTCCCAGCCCTAATATATATATATATATAGCCATGCCCTGATGTGGGGGCTGGGGGGTGCGTCGACTTGGTCGGGACATAGAAGGGGGTGCGCGGCTAAATAAGTTTGGGAACCACTGGACTAAATAATACACTAAATAATACATTTATTTAGTCTGGCTTGCCAGTCTACTACATTTGTCCATAAAATGGCAAATGGTAGCCATTTTCCCTACATTTGCCTGGCAAACGGCAAATTATTGCCATTTTCCCTACACTTATCCATCAAATGGCAGATCATTGCCATTTTCACTACAT